CGAAACTGGTGACTAGTCAAGAAAACAGAAAAAAAAAAAAATGTCTGAAGAACAGCCGAATACGCCCTCAGAGGAGTCTTCAACAGCAATTGATCAAGCATCTCTAAGATCTATATCCGGAGCCTCATCTACACACTCGCTGGACAGCCACTCGCTGCAAATCACACAGCACAAGCTTAATGGGCTGAATTTCCGAGAATGGTTTCAGTCCGTCATTCTTGTTGTCAGAGGAAGAGGGAAGGTTGGATACTTGACAGGAGCAATCACAGCACCACCGGACACAGCACCAAACTACCGCACTTGGGAGGCAGAAAATTCGATCGTCATGGCATGGCTTATTAATTCTATGGAGCCAAAGATTGGAAGAACTTATCTGTTTTACAAGACAGCGAAGGAGATTTGGGAGGCAGTCCAAGAAATCTATTCCGATCTTGAAAACACGTCTCAATGTTTCGAGATTAGGTCAAAAATCCGCAACACCATACAAGGGAGTCTTACTGTCACTGAGTATTATAATTCTCTCTTAGAATTATGGCAAGAAATGGATCTCTTTTATGAGATTGGATGGCTGTGTGCTACTGACGCAGAAAAATACAAAAAAATGCTTGAGAAAGAGCGTACCTTTGATTTTTTGCAGGGCTTGAATCCAGATTTAGATGAAGTACGTGGACGGCTACTTGGGATGAAACCATTTCCAACTCTCCGAGAATCGTTTGCTGAAGTCAGGAGAGAAGAAAGCAGGAAACGAGTGATGATGAATCCCTCTAGTCGTGACATGCCTTCCTTGGAAACACGAGGGTCTGCACTTGTGGCAAACAAACAAGATGGCAGTCGTGGGTTTCAATACAAACAAGATGGCAGCCGTGGCTCTCAATCAAAGGACAAGGTCTGGTGTGATTATTGTAACAAGCCCTATCACACTCGTGAAACTTGCTGGGATTTACATGGCAAGCCACCAGATTGGAAACCAAGGAAGCAACGTGGGCAATCAAGTTCAGCCCACATAGTGGAGTCGAAATCAACCCGCAGGGAGGAGACAGAATCGGACAGGGCTGCTGGTTTTAATCTCTCAACAGAGCAAGTGGAGATGCTACGGCAGCTTCTCAACCAAACTCAGGTTTCAACAGGATCCGCAAATCAGACTTCAAAACCTCCCACTGCAGCTATGGCACAAACAGGTATAATGAGTCAAGCATTCCTGTCAAAATCTCTGCAAGCAGACTGTTGGATTGTGGATACAGGGGCTTCTGACCATATGACCGGGTCAATGGAGTTTTTTTGAGCAATATGACATATGCAATAATCTAATTAATGTCTGGGTTGCTGATGGAAAAATGTCACCTGCGGTTGGAAGGGGCTTGGTTTGTTTACCGAATATGACATTGAAATCGGTTTTACATGTGCCCAAATTGACATATAATCTTTTGTCAGTTAGTAAATTAACAAACGATCTTAATTGTGTTGTGACTTTTTTCTCCTCTCACTGTGAATTTCAGGACCGTTCTTCGGGGAAGATGATTGGCATTGCTGAGAAGAAAGATGGCCTATACTACCTCTTAGGAGCCAGGAATTCCAGTAGAGCCGAGTCACAAAATAAAATGTCCATGTCAGTTATGTCTAATTCTGATATTATGTTATGGCATCAACGCTTAGGACATCCAAGTTTTTCTTATATGAAAGTCTTGTATCCAAATCTTTTTATCAATAAAGAGAAAGTTTTGTTTCATTGTGAACAGTGTGTCCTTGCCAAACAACCAGAGTAAAATATTCACCTCATACATACAAACCCTCTAGACCATTTCAGTTGATTCATAGTGATATCTGGGGTCCGTCTAGGACAGTTAATTTAACTAAAACCCAGTGGTTTATCACTTTCATAGATGATCATACTAGGGTTTGTTGGATATACTTGATGAAAGATAAATCTGAGGCATTTTACTGGTTTAAACAGTTCCAAAAGTTTGTCCAAAATGTTTTCCAATCCAATATCCAAGTTCTTCGAACAGATAATGGGGGGGAGTATTTTTCAAATGAGTTTGGCCAATATTTGGGGGATAATGGGATATATCATCAGAGTTCATGTGTTGATACACCTAAACAAAATGGGGTTGCGGAAAGAAAGAATCGTCACTTGTTGGAGGTTGCTCGATCGATCATGTTTACTAGTTTAGTCCCGAATTCCTACTGGGGGGAGGCAATCCTCACTTCCACATATTTGATTAATCTCGACTACCTTCAAAACACTTCAATTCCGAACTCCTCTAAGTGTCCTTCTTGATCATTTTCCAAATGTGAATCTTTTCAATTCTTTGTCCCCAAGAGTGTTCGGATGCACTGTATTTGTCCATAACAAACAACCAAATAGGAGTAAGCTTGATCCCAGGGCTTTTAAATGTGTCTTTGTCGGATATTCTCCAACCCAAAAAGGCTACAAATGTTATTCTCCCTTTCTCAAGAAATTTTTTGTCTCGTGTGATGTAACTTTCTTTGAGGATCAACCATTCTATCCCACCACTCGTTTCCAGGGGGAGAATGCCAATGAAAACGAGCATTGGGATCCCACTGTATCTCTTCCAATATTACAAGATGTGTCACAAGAGGCCTCTAGTTCAGCCTCTAGTTCACCACCAGAAAACTCGAGTCCAATTCCTGTCCCTAATCCTAGTTCGAGTCATGATCAAGAGATGGTGCAGCAACCCATCTCTGAGAGACCATTTCAGGTTTATTCTAGAAGGCCAAAAGCTTCTCAACAAGTCCAATCATTGAACCAAGAATCGGATCCTGGTGAAAGCAGTGACTTGAACGTGCCAATTGCAATACGGAAAGGGGTAAGAACATGCACAAAGCACCCTATCTACAATTTTCTAACCTGCACAAAGTTGTCTTCTGGATTTAAGGCTTTTACAGCGAAGATCGATAATGAGAGAATTCCCAAAAATATCCATGAAGCCATTAAAGATCCAAAGTGAGAGAAAGCCGTGCATGAGGAAATGAGAGCATTGCACGATAATGAGACTTGGGAAGTAATTGACTTACCAAAGGATAAGAAAGTAGTTGGAAGCAAATGGGTCTTCACAGTGAAATATAAAGCAAATGGAGAAGTAGAGAGGTATAAGGCTCGATTAGTAGCTCAAGGCTTCACACAAACATATGGGATTGATTATGAAGAAACGTTTGCTCCTGTGGCCAAACTCAACTCTATCCGGGTTCTTTTGTCTCTTGCAGCCAATCTGGACTGGGAACTACACCAACTTGATGTGAAGAACGCTTTTTTGAATGGCAATCTTGATGAAGAAGTGTATATGAAGATCCCACCTGGATTCGAGTCAGAAGAGGAACAAGGAAAAGTTTGCAAACTGAAGAAGTCATTGTATGGTTTGAAACAATCTCCACGTGCATGGTTTACCAGGTTCAGTTCTTCTCTCACTCGACTGGGATATACTCAAGGGAAGGATGATCACACTATCTTCATTAAAAGAGGAGAAGGTGAAAAAAGGGCCATTCTTATTGTGTATGTTGATGATATCATACTCACAGGTGATGATACTGTTGAGATTCACAACCTCAAGAACCAATTGAAGGAAGAGTTTGAAGTTAAAGACTTGGGACCCCTGAAGTACTTTCTCGGTATGGAAGTTGCTAGAAGTAAAGAGGGTATCTTCATTTCTCAAAGGAAATACACTCTTGACCTACTAGAAGAAACCGGGAAACTGGGGTGCAAACCGGTGGGAACTCCACTTGAAAAAAATTGGAAGAGCAAGATTAAAGATGATGTGCCTTCTGTGGATATAGGAAGATATCAACGGCTGGTTGGTAGGTTGATCTATTTGTCTCTCACACGGCCTGACATTGCTCACGCTGTAAGTGTAGTAAGCCAGTACATGCACTCACCTACTCAGAGACACCTAGAGGCTGTGAATCATATCTTGAGATATCTCAAGGGTACTCCAGGAAGAGGATTGATGTTTCTGAAAAATGAGAACAGAAATATCGAAGGGTATGTTGATGCGGACTGGGCTGGAAGTGAAGATTGTAAGTCAACTTCGGGATATTGCACCAAGCTATGGGGTAATTTGGTTACATGGAGAAGTAAGAAACAGACGGTTGTGGCAAGGAGTAGTGCTGAGGCAGAATTTCGGGCAATCGCACAGGGAATTTGTGAGGTTATATGGCTGGAAAGATTAATGCAAGACTTGCAAATCACAGTTTGCTCTCCCACCAAGGTATATAGTGATAGCAAATCTGCAATTAGCATTGTGAACAATCCGATTCAACATGATCGGATGAAACATGTCAGGATTGATCAAAGCTTCATCAAGAACGAAATTGAAGAAGGAGGTATTGAGTTGTCCTACATCTCAACCCATGCACAAGAAGCAGATATCCTAACCAAGAGTCTACCGAAGCCTAGTCAGGAAAGTTTTCTCTGCAAGCTTGGAATGAGAAATATCTATTCCTAAGCTTGAGGGGGAGTGTTGGAGATTTTGTCAATTATGTGTAAATATTTATTCTTTCTGTTTATTGTATGATTTAGTCAAAATAGGAAAGTATAAATTAGGAAGATATTGTAGGATTGTCTAGCGTAATTTAGGGATTCTTTCCTTAACTTTCTCTCTTAATTGCCGTGACCAATGGCTTACTAAGTGTATATATTCTGACAAGGTTAATGAGAATTATGCAGCAAGAATTATTCTTCTCTCTGTTTCTCTTGTTTCACAAGCTGGGAATGGAAGATATCTATTCCTCAGCTTGAGGGGGAATGTTGACGTGTAAATGAGTTGTAAATAGATTAGGAGAATTAGTTAGAAATCCCATGATTTAAGGGATTCGGGTTAGGCAGGATTATTTGGTTTCCTGATTTCTTGATTTCTTGATTTAGGAATGATTTGGTTTCCTATTCTTTCTCCTGTAATTAGCTATATAATACTGTGTAATATGTTTATTCATTAATAATAGAAAAACATAGTCCTTTTCTGTGACAGATGTCATACTTTTTATAGGGTGGAAACGAGTGGGAGGCATCTCTTTATACACCCATTGTTGCTGCAAGATTGGGAAATTTTTGTCTAGATTCTCTGTTTACTGATCAGCAGAAATATAACTTGATCAATTTAGAGGTACCATCTCTTATGCATATTGCTTTATGTAGAACGGCACAATTATCTTGTCTGAAGGTTTTCTAATAATTTTAAGAATGTTTCTTCAATTTATTGGTCCAGTAGCTGAAAATCGGGGATCATCCTACCCCTGCCTTTTCTTAAACCTCTCTAGCCCTGGCCTGGGTTTGAACCAAGGATTTGAGACACCTCGTGTCTTTCTACACGGCCATCACTGGGCTGAAGGGCATTTTTTCTTTTAAATTAATCATGCTAATGCTTAAGTTTATGTGTACAGTCTTTGACTTTGGAGCAGAAGTGGGTTGGAGCTCCTTTTGCAGCTATGCTTCGAAGACATCAAGCAGGCCATACAGAAGCAAATGATTGCATTCTTAGAATTGTCTGTGTTATGCTGTCAACCAGTTCTGATGTTACACAAATTCAATACTCTTCTATAGCTCTCCAGGTAAAATTTAGGGAAACTACATCTAGTTTTTATTTTATTTCTATTATTAACTTTTTTATTTGTTTATTTCTTTTGTCTGTCTTGCTTGCATAGCTCTCAAAATTGTGATGAATTGATATTTCTAATTGAAGTCATAAATTGGCTGAAGCATAGTTGTTTTATGCAGCCCGTTGCTTTAAATCTTGATGAGGAGACACTGATGAAAGTGGTCCCCTTTTGGAGGACATCTCTTAGTGATTCAGTGAGTCGTCAGTATTACTTTGATCACTTCGAGATCCAGCCAATAAAGGTTTGACTTCTGATGCCTTCTAACTATATATTTCTGTTCATTTCATAATACATTCTTGATTGGTTGTAATGCTTTATTGTAACTACACGTCATGTTCAATATCTTTTTAGATTATTGCAAACTTTCTTCCTGGGGAATCATATTCAAGTTATAGCTCAGCCCAGGAGACACTGAGGTCTTTTCTGCACAGTGTCATAAAGGTATGTGTTATAACCCTTGGATAGAACTTGAAGATTTTGAAGAAGAAATAATCTTCTATTTTTCTCATTGAAATAATCGGTAACCTTTACACACTTATATACAAGATTTACATAACTAATAAAGGTAACAAATCCCTACAAATAAGGGAAGGATAATCTTCTCCTAAACCTAAGGAATCTGGATTCTCTAATCCCATGATTTCCTCCTATATGTAATTCTAGATAACTTTGAGGGAAATTCCACACTCCCCCTCAAGTTGGGTTGTACATATTGTACATGCCTAACTTGTTGCATAGTTCCTCAAAGTTAGGTCCTGGGAGCGCCTTTGTCAAGATGTCTACCAGTTGTTCCCGGGTAGGAGTGTAGATCAGCTGCACCTCTGAGTTCTCAATCTTCTCTACTATAAAATGTTGATCTATCTCCACATGTTTCGTTCTGTCGTGATGAACTGGGTCCTTTGCGATGCTAATAGTAGCCTAATTATCGCACTTAAGTGTCACCGACTTCTCAAACTCCAACCCCAACTCAGTCATAACTCTCCTGATCCATATTCCTTCACAGATTGTTACTGCTAAGGCTCTTAGTTTAGCCTCTGCACTGCTTCTGGAAACCACAGTCTGTTTCTTACTTCTCCATGTTACAAGATTCCCCCAGACTAAAGAGCAATACCCTGTGGTTGACCTCCTGTCTACCTGGCTTCCTGCCTAGTCTGCATCGGAGTATAGAGCTATATTTCTGCAATCGTTTTTCTTAAACATTAACCCTTTTTCAGGGGTCATCTTTAGATACCTGAGAATTCTGTACACGGCTTCCATGTGTTCCTTCGTCGGATGGTTCATAAACTGACTTACAACACTCACTGCAAAACTAATGTCAGGCCGGGTATGAGAGAGATAAATGAGCTTCCCTACTAGACGTTGATATCTTCCTTTGTCTACTGGAGTTCCTTCCTCTTCATACCCTAACTTCTTTGTAGAGTCCATAGGGGTGCTTGCAGGTTTACATCCTAGCATGCCGGTTTCTTTAAGTAAATCCAGGGTGTATTTGCGCTGAGAGACCACTATTCCCATTTTTGATTGAGCCACTTCCATGCCTAGGAAGTACCATAGAGGACCAAGATCTTTTACTTCAAATTCTTTATCTAAGAATCTTTTCATCTTCAGTAACTCTTCCTCGTAATCTCCGGTTAGAATGATGTCATCAACATACACAATGAGAATAGCTACTTTTCCCTTGGAAGAGCGCTTTACAAAGAGTGTGTGATCAGCTTGACATTGAATAAATCCGTGTTCCTTTACAAACCTTGAGAATCTACCGAACCACGCTCGTGGGGATTGCTTAAGTCTATATAAAGACTTCAATAACCTGCACACCTTATTGTTGCTGTTGCTTATTTGTAGACCCGAAGGAATCTCCATGTAAACTTCCTCTTCGAGATCTCCGTTAAGGAAGGCGTTCTTTATATCAAGCTGATGAAGTTGCCAGTCCAAGTTGGCTGCTAATGAGAGGAGTATTCGAATGGTGTTAAGCTTTGCAACAGGAGCAAAAGTCTCCTGGTAATCAACCCCATAGGATTGAGTAAAGCCCCTTGCTACTAACCGAGCCTTAAGCCTCTCAATGCTTCCATCTACTTTGTGCTTCACGGTAAAGACCCATTTACAACTCACCTTTTTCTTTCCTGGCGGGAGTTCAGTAATAGTCCATGTTCCATTCCTTTTCAAGGCCATGATCTCCTCTTGGACTGCTTGTTTCCAACCTGGGTGACTCAGAGTCTCTTGAATGTTTGCTGAAATTTGCACATTATCCAGCCCTGAAGTAAAGGCTTGATAGGATGGAGAGAGATCTGCATATGATATAAAATTCTTGATTGGATGTTGAGTACAGGTTCGAGTACCTTTCCTTACGGCAATGGGCAGTCCCAAATCGTCTGTAATCTGAGTTCATGTGATCCTTTTTGTTTCGGCTCATTTCCACCTCCTGTGCTGGGACAAAAACACTTATAACCTTTCTTATTTGTGGAATAACTGAGGAAGACACATTTTATGGACTTTGGATCAAGTTTACTCCTGTTTTGGGGGTATATATGGACGAATGCAGAACACCCAAAAATTTTGAAGGGAAGATCGGAGGAGAGAACCCGAGCATGAGGGAAGATTTTAATGAAGGCTTGACGTGGTGTTCTAAATTTTAGAACACGAGATGGCATCCTATTGATGAGATATGCAGAAGTAAGAATGGCTTCCCCCCAAAGATATTTTGGAACACTAGTAGAAAACATAAGGGATTGGGCTACTTCTAACAAGTGACGATTTTTTCTCTCAGCCACACCATTTTGCTGGGGTGTATTGACACATGAACTCATTTGGACAATCCCCTGTTGGGACAAGTAGTTACCTAGAATTGAATAGAAATATTCCCTAGCATTGTCAGACTTAAGAATTTGGATTTTCGTACTAAACTGTGTTTGGACCATGGAGTTGAATGCTCGGAATATTCTATCAACTTCTGACTTTTCTTTCATAAGGAAAACCCAAGTGAGTCGGGTATGATCATCCACAAAGGTCACAAACCACCGTGCCCCATTAATATTTTTTATTCGAGCAGGTCCCCAAATATCACTGTGAATCAATGCAAATGGTTTTGATGGACAGTAGGGCACACTTGGATAAATAGAACGTGTGTATTTTGCAAGTTGACAGATCTCACAGTTAAAATTTTTTGACTTTTTATTGATGAATAAATGAGGGAATAACCTTTCAAGATACATAAAGTTTGGATGACCTAATCGATAGTGCCATAACATGACTTCACTATCTTTATTGACACTAGAATTGAAAACAGACTTAGGACTGAAATTACTAATTGACTGACTCATAGGAAAGTTTTTGCTTCCAACTAAAGCTTCTCCAAGTTGAGGTGTCTTGAAGAGATAGAGTCCCGAGCACATCTCAGCATTGCCAATCCTCTTCCTCGAACCCAATTCCTGAAAAACACACACATTTGGGAGAAATTTAGTAACACAATGATAATCACGAGTCAACTTACTGATGGACATTAAGTTGCAATCGAGTTTAGGGACATGAAGCACGGATTTGAGAATGATTTCCGGTGAGAGTCGAATTGAGCCAATCCTGCCACCTTAGATAAAGAACCATCGGCAATGCGAACTGTGAGATTGGTGTGACTCGGTTGATATTCATGAAAGAGAGACCCATCTCCCGTCATATGGTCGGATGCCCCTGAATCAATAATCCAATATCTTGAATGTTTAGCGCACACACTGTGAATTACCTGCTTGTGCATGCATGCTAGCGGACGGGGTAGGAGCAACGTGCTGCGAGAGTGTACTGCTTAGAATTTTTTTGAGTGCGTCGAGTTGTTCCTTAGTGAAGGGACTTGGCTCGGCAGCGACTGGCTTTTCCTCGGTTGTGGTGGCTGAATTTGCACGGCTGTCTTTGTCAAACCCTGATTTTGATGGCTTCCAGTCAGCAGGTTTGCCATGTATCTTCCAACACGTATCTTTGGTGTGGCCAAGTTTAGCACAGTGATCGCACCATGCTCTTCCCTTCCTTTGTTGTCGAGAGTCATGCTGATTTTGAGGACATAAGCCACGGGTAGCAAGGGCAGATCCTTCCAACGTTGGAGATGAATGTTGACCACTCATCATGACCTTTTTCCTGCTTTCCTCACGGCGAACTTTAGAGAAGGCTTCTTGTAGGCTCGGAAGAGGCTTAGTTCCCATCACTCTGCCTCTAACTTCATCCAGGTTCTTGTTTAAACCCAGTAAAAACTTAAATGTCCTCTTCTGCTGCACTATTTTCCGATACAGGACATTGTCTTCAGGGCACTTTCATCCATGGCTTTCAAACATGTCTAGTTGCTGCCAGTGATGGGTGAGTGTGTTGAAGTATTGTGTTACGGCGAGATCTCCCTGCCGTAGATTGTGAAGGATGGACTCAATTGCGAATAGCTCCGATGTATTTTCAGAACTCGAGTAAGTCTCTCTTACTGCTTCCTAAATTTCTTGTGCAGTCTCATAGAGAAGAAAATTCTCACCAATATCAACATTCATTGAATTGATGAGCCAAGACATAATTTGATGATTTTCTGCCTTCCACTTTTTGTAACCTGGATCATCCTTCTTCGGAATTGGAATCTCCCCTGTTAGATAATCCTCTTTGCCTCTGCCACAGATGAACATCCGGACTGATTGAGACCATTGGGGAAAGTTTTGCCCATTAAGTTTGTGGCTAGTGATCAGGAGTGAGAGATTTTCAGAATTTCCGGAATTTCCAGAATGTCCAGAATTTTGAAGAGCAGATGTTTGATCGGAATGAGAAGGAACTTCAGAGGGAGAGCTGGTTGTTTCGGATGCCATAGGTGTGCTTGGCTATGAGGGACGGCTGGGAATGGAGGCTAGGGTTTTTCAGGATGAGAATGAAGACTAGGGTTTTTTTTTTCAGAGAACCGACTCTGATACCATGAAGATTTTGAGGAAGAAATAATCTTCTATTTTTCTCATTGAAATAATCGGTAACCTTTACACACTTATATACAAGATTTACATAACTAATAAAGGTAACAAATCCCTACAAATAAGAGAAGGATAATCTTCTCCTAAACCTAAGGAATCCAGATTCTCTAATCCTATGATTTCCTCCTATATGTAATTCTAGATAACTTTGAGGGAAATTCCACAGAACTCGTCCCCAAAAGCTAGCTTGTAGGGAGAGAGTGCCCAAATGGTTATAAACCCACATGCTAAGCCCATACTTTAACAATGTGGGACTCAACCAGGATCCTAACATACCACCACGCTTCCGACACCGACGTCCACGGCGACCCACTCTGGATGGCCTACTCTGGCCTTTCTAGGTCGCCCCTTCCGCAACGTGGGCTTGAGGAGGAACATGCTCTGATACAAATTGTTATAACCCTTGGGTAGAACTCATCCCCAAAAGCTAGCTTGTAGGGAGAGGGTGCCCAAATGGTTATAAACCCACATGCTAAGCCCATACTTTAGCAATGTGGGACTCAACCAGGATCCTAACAGTATGGCATGTGCTTTGCCAAAGAATTATTTTTCTCACACTTCAGCAGTTAAAGCTCTTTCCAGCTCTTATATCTCCTGACAGAAGTTTTGCTTTTTTCTTTATCCCATCTTGTGCTTCTTTAGGTGCCTCCAATAGACAACATGGTTGTCGAGCTGAATGGTGTCTTGGTTACTCATGCTTTAATAACAATGCGGGAACTGTGTATCAGATGTGCAAAACATTACTCATGGTAAAAGTATCATGTATTTTGCCTTAATTTTGTTATTTTATGTAGCAGTTAAGACATTTCTTAACATAACTACCAAAAAAAAAAAGACATTTCTTAACATGATATGACACCATTCAGGTACGCCATGAGGGCTATCTATATTGCAAAGGGAAGCCCATTGCTGCCACCAGATTTTGTGTCCATGTTTGATGACTTGGCTTCCTCCTCCCTTGATGCCTTCTTTGATCCCTCCCGTGTGTTGACGAATCTTCCAGGTCTCACTTTAGGTATATTTTCTGCTCTTTCATTATCTTTATCCCTTATTAAGCACCTTTATTTCATGTAAATTACCGTTTTTTTCCTTTATTTTTCCTTGTAAGTCATCTCCAAAATTACTGTTCTTTCCTCTGTTGATTAGGTACTCTTAAATTCGTCAGCAAATGTATTGGTCGTAAAGGATTCTCAGGAACAAAACGATACTTCGGTGATCTAGGAAAATCGGTAAGTTGAAATATCAAAGGATAATGAATACGATGGCCTGCCACTGTGCTCACCAACTATTTATGGTGCCTTTGCAGTTGCAGACAGCGGGATCTAATGTGCTTTTCGCTGCAATCTCTGAAATATCAGATTCTGTTCTGAAGGGAGCAGAAGCAAGTGGTTTTAATGGAATGGTATGATTAGTTCTTTAAGTGTATATCATGTTTAGATTATAGGTTTTGGTTAATCTATGAGGATTGTCAAGCTTTAGTATTTTAACATTAGCATTTCGGTGTCTGATTTTTTCTAGGTGATTGGGTTTCATCAAGGAATACTGAAATTGGCTATGGAGCCTTCATTGCTGGGGACTGCTTTGATGGAAGGTGGCCCAGATAGAAAGATTAAACTAGATCGAAGTCCTGGGGTTGATGAGGTAATATTTATTCTATATGTCTCCACTTTCTCTTCCTATTGGAACCTTATACCCATTGTCAAAAATCTTTTATATGGAAGTCTGTTTTTATTGTAGAAGTTCTATTCACACGAGTTTTCCCGGCCTTGCTGTAAAATTCATGTTTACTGTTCTTAGTAGTTAAAATTGAGCTAAGCCCCTGCTCTTATGAAAAGCTAGATTCTGCTGGAAAATAGACCACTGAACAAAGTTTCGTTGGAATTTTGCAGTTATACGTTGAAGGATACCTGCAAGCAATGTTGGACACACTGTACAGACAAGAATATCTGAGGGTCAGGGTCATTGACAATCAGGTAATCATAAAGAACAAATACAAAGTTCTGTTAGAAATTAGAATCACCTTTTTTCTTCTTTCGGAATTAGATGAGACCACAGAACTGGCATTGATTTCATGCGTCACCTCTACACCTGTAGCCTACGCACTGGACCGCATGTAGAGTTCATCAGTCTGTCATATAATATATGGATTTCTTTCGATAGTCTTAGACTCCAGTATTTCACACCCTCCCTCTTCCTACCCTTATCCTCTTTATTACTATTGTGGTCAAGTTTTTTTTTTTTTTTTTTTTTTTTTTTTTTTTTTTTTTTTTTTTTAATCTCATTATTATTTTTGATAGATAAGATTTCAACAGGAAATGCTTTCTTTGCTGGATAATCATGTTATCAGTGTTTATACTAATCATGTCTCCATTTAGGTTTACCTCAAAAATCTACCCCCAAACAATACTCTTATAGAGGAGATCGTGGATCGTGTGAAGGGCTTCCTCGTGAGCAAGGCATTATTAAAGGGAGATCCCTCCAGAACTTCTCACCCCTTACGTCATCTTCGAGGAGAAAGTGTAAGTATCTACCTTTCTTCCAATTTGAACCTGAGAGTTGCGTCTTTTTTTTTTTTTCTTTTTTGTAATCTAGATCAAATCAATTTCATTTATTTTCCTTTAGTTTTAGGTGCTTGTTGGTAAACATGCTCAAACTCTCCACAATCTGATGAAATTTTTTTTCGATATCCCAACAGTTGAAAAGCCTGTTAGGTTAATTTGGGTTGTCATTCTTAGAAATTGCATAACTGATGTACTGTCTTTTCACCGCCCTCAAGCAATTTTACGCCTGGTTGCTTTTTAAGTAACTAAAGTAAGAGTAACTGCTCAACAGGAGTGGAAACTTGGACCAACTTTACTGACATTATGTGAGCACCTTTTTGTGAGTTTCGCCATTCGCATGCTTAGGAAGCAAGCTAACAGGTTCATAGCCGGCATCAAGTGGAAGAAAGATTTGGTCGGCGACGATCAGAAAGCGATTACTCCGACAACTGCAGACAGCCCCGAAGAGGATCAGAAGGTTAGGTTCATCTGGAGAATGGGAATTGGAAAGTTTGTGTTGTCAGGCATTGTAGCATATGTAGATGGACGTTTATGTCGTTGTATTCCTAACCCCATAGCTCGACGCATTGTAAGTGGTTTCTTGTTGACTTTTCTTGACAAACGTAGCGATGAGTAGACTTTTTTTTTTTTTTTTTTTTTCATGTACATAACTCTCTCTTTCTGTATATCTTCTTGGTTAAAAAAAAAAAATCAAGTTGAAATCTTTGCAAAAAGGATAAAGAAATAAACTTGTGTGGCATTTTTTGGTGTGGACCAAGCTTAATCAAAGAATCGGAAATAGCACGCATTCATCAATCTTGTTTGGTGTCAATCTCTATAGTTTTATGTGTATCAATTCCAAATGAATTGGTATTCAAATGATTACTTTTTTTTAGTAGCAAACATTTCAATTCTATGTACCATCCATCTTGTTTCAATTGTTTTCTGCTCAAAAAGGCCCTCGGTTTACATAGAAAACCCACTGAATTGGCCGCCCATTGTTTTGCGACTTGTGGGACTTGTCTTGGAGTCACTTTCTTGTTCGCTGTTGCCATCACAAAAACCTCCTTTTTTTCCGGATAAAGAGGCAAATGACCTTTTTTTTTAAGGATTCTTTGACATAATGGTCATAAATTTGTTAAAATTAACAAAATGGCCGTTTCTTTAATTAACTAAATAGTCAATTATTGATTAAGTTAGTAGTCACTGATTGATTAACGGTTAATCATTGATTGACTTAAGTTTATCAGCGATTAACTTGATGATTTTTTATTATCAATCAGTATTAGTTAATAGGGAGATTTTTTGGTACGCTGGCGTACCAGTAGTCTAACTTTTTTAATTATTAGATCTGCATATATTTTTTACTTTTATGTGCTTTTTTGACGGACAAAAAATCTAACTTATAGGTATGTTGGCATACCGGAGAAGATTTTTAATTAATAATTAACTGAAATCAATTAGTAAAAATTTAGCTATTTATTAAAAAAAGATTGTTAAAAAACAATCATTACCTAATTTTCTCTTTTTTCCCACTATTTTTCTTGGGTGTGTAGAAATTCTCCTGAAACTTCAAAGTAACCTTAACTAACACCAACTAAGGAGACGTTTGGTTCATGAATTCAGAATTATGATTTAAAATCATTCTCATTTTATGTGTTTTTTATGAGAGAAAATACTATAACGAGTCACGAATTATGACACGAATCATGACACGAATAACCCTTCCAAACGCACCTTAATAGTTTCAAATTGATTAATAAGTCGCTCATAACTCCATTACAACGGTCCCTTTTAGTTCTTAGGTTTTGAAAAGAAAAAAAATTGAATTTAAATTTTATAAAAAAAAAATACTATAACAAAAAGATTTTTACATTAATTCAAACCTATAAGATAAACGCAGGGTAAACCACCGATTCCAGTATTAAGTTTAGCCCAGTTGTCTATGTACATAGTTAAAAATGCTAGTCTAAACGTGTACTTCCAGTGTTTTATTGACAGTTGTTACCAAATAATTTGTCGCCAGTTGGCCAAGGCCACGAGCACTAGAAACACATGTTATGCACATATAAGTTACATGTTGAAGAAGCATACGTGCACACCATAAATAAGAATTGGATAAAACTCTCCACTGATACGTTGTCTTAATGCTCACAATAAATGGAACAACAGAAAAAAAAAAAAAAACAAAAAACAAAAAAAAAACAAAAAAAAAACGAAAGAAAATCCGTTCTGTCCGTACGTGTCGACCGTAGATTGTAATACCTTCAGGCAGACAGCCGCCAAAGCACACGGTATTGCCAACCCTGGTCCGCCCATACCGCCGTGGCTCCCTCCAATGTTGTGATTTTTCAGAACCGATTGTGGTCCAGCTTTTTTTCTTTTTTCTTTTTTTTAATAAGAATTATGAAAGTGATGGTTATCTCAAGGGTTAATATTGGTTCTCTAAAAAATATCTCATGGATATCACTAGTTTTGTTTTGTTTATTAGTTTTTTTTTCTTCTTTTTTTTTTTTTTTTTTTTTTATATTACGGTCAACAAAAAAATAATGTAATATGATAGTAACACAAAAAATACGGGAAAAAATAAAAAGTTAATATCTTTTTAATTTTTTTTAATAAAGTAAATTAAAAAAAATCACTCTAGTGTAAAGGACGTTCAGAAAAACAAGGTAACTACAGCCACGTCATTGCTGGAGTTGTATAAAAGTTTCAGGAAATTTTCAATTAAATTCTCATTTTCCTCACTGAAAATTTTGAACTTATAAGTTATAAATATATAATTTTTTTTTTTTAAAAATTCAGCTTTCGCGCATATAGACATAGTTGTAAAGAGTTTCAAGTATATCATCACCGTTTTAAGTTAGAAAAAAAAAAATTAAAATATGACTTAACTACATTATTTATAAAAGTCTAAATTTTGTAGGCGTAAACTTTAAAATTGAAATGTACTTGGAGATCACATTCTTATTTGCGAATACAAATACTTGAAGGTATTATATGAAGATATTATATAAAGGTGAGGCACCTAAGATGTTAATTAATCCCCGAGTCGGAGGTAGGTTAGGGGTGGGGGATCTCGCCCTCCTAAACCTCGATCTGATTATTTTAGGGCGACCCAATACTTTCTTGCTTGATTTACTTGTTATATTTGAGAAAGAAAATAAAAGATAGTAAGTAGACAAGAATAAGTATGAAAGGAAAAAAAGAAAAAAAAAACGAAAAGAAAAATGCTTTATTGAAATAAATTCAATGTGATTAAAACAGAACAATTGATATTATATTGTCTTCTCCTAAAATATGGATTATTTCCTTGATACAAATTCACAAAAGAAATACAAACAAAAAGTTATTAATGCCATTAATATATAGAAAAAATTAGGTTGATGGAGATTTTAGTCATACCATTCAAATTAATGTCCTTTTTTTTTTTTTAGAGAGAACTAGCATTTTTTATAGTAGTCAATTACTAATACATCATAATTATGATTTATCATTTACTTATTAATAGTTTATCATTAATAAACTGATAAATTATTAATTTAAATTAATTTATCACAAATCGATTAGTGAATCGATGATAAAATAATATATCACTGATTTGTGATAAACGACCGTTTCTCTAATTTTACAAAACTTCCCACCATTTACTTAAAAATGACTATAGAAATACAAAAATCATTTTTAGTACATATATCTCATACAAAGGTTCGTTAAAGTGAGCTTTTCTTTTCTTTTCCTTTCAATGCTGTAAAAGTGAGAATTAGGTTGTTGGGTTATGTTGCATGTTCCATCTAAAATCTTGTTTGAGAAATGAATATTCTGTTGTTGTAGTGCTCTGTTTAGTTACTGATCCATCATTAAGAGTTAAATAATAATAAACTTATATTAGCAAAATAATAATAATAATAATAATAATAAACTTAGTGCATAGTCGCACGTTTGATACAATAGCATAGGAACATAGTTCATACATATACATGGATTACATGGATATATATATATTTTTATATATTGATTGAGCCAATTATTATTATCCACCTATAATTGCAATGTAGCCACCAGCAGCTTAGCCTGCTTCGTATCAGCCCCACTCAAAACCATTAAAAACACACACACACACACACACGTCAGATCCATATACTAATAGAAAAACCACTGGCTTGGAGGACCCAGAAAGCCCCAAAAACCACTCACAAAATGAATTAACAAAAACATTATACGCAAAAGTTAATGGCAAACTATCAGACGTCTCACTTTTTCTGCCTATAAATTAGAGCCCTCTCCTCCTTTGTGACACTCAATTACACCTTTGATTTCGTTCATTTTTTCCTCAAACAACAAAAATGGCTTTCGTCATATCCGAAGCTCAACAATCTTTCTCACATTCAGAGGCCGAGAAGGTGACTCAACAAGATGATAGACCAAGTCCCATCACAAGCCAACTTTACTTGAAATCTTCTTCTTCTTCTTCTTCTTCTTCTAAGGCTAATCTGAACAAAGATGTTGTACTCAGACGCATTCGTCACCACAAGTGCTTGAACAAAGTTAGAAGTGCATTTCAAGGTCTTCTTGTGAGTTCTGATTCTGAAGAAGCTCAGCAGAAATGGCTAGACCAGAATGACAGCTTTTCCTCTCCTTAGATTTGGCGCCTTACACAAAACATTTTGGTATTATAATTCTTGGTGCCTTTTTATCACTTCTAGAAGGAATTCCTGTTGTGGGGTTTTATGGAAGATATTGTAGAGGAGATTAGATGATCCATAATGTAAGAAACAAGTTTGTTGCTAATTGCTTGGTCGAGCAAATGAATTTCCACTTCTCATGACTCGTGATCACTGTGTTAAAGTTTTTTCTTGAAGATCCAAGTGAATTTTACCACTTCCTCTCTCACTCTATGTGGAGAGAGATTATGTATTTAGTTTATATTGTTCGGTTATTTTTAGAATCAATAAATATTTTTTGGTTATATTTCTGTTGCGTACTAATTTAAGATTTTAAGAGGAAGATCAAGAACCTGTAGTAACACGACTTCAGTCTTCAAGGAGTTGGAAGAGTTATTGACCCATGGTCTTTTAGTTTATGCACATGATAAAGAGACGAATAGTATGTTTCTTCAACGTTTTTAATTCGGCAAATAGTATATTTTTTTAAACGTTTTTAAAGAAAATACCATAATTTTGAAATGATTGAAGTAAATAATCAAATAGCATATTTACTGGCATTGTTGGTTTTAAGAATATGCTATTTACTACCATTACTGTTATGGATAAAATCAGTCTGTTCAATATAAATCCCTTCTAGCAGGTTCCTTTAATAAAATATATGGCGGTTGATAAGTGGCAAAAAAATTAGCCACTGAAAGGAAGCAATTATGCAGCAAACTCCATGAACGGTAAAGTTTTCAAGATAAAACCAACTTTTCTGCAACTCAAAGGACATTCTCTTTAAAGTCAAGATCTCAGGAGATGGTGAACAATGAAACAAAAATGGAAAATCGCACTCATTAAACTAAAATTCATCATACCATCATTACAAAAATGAGCTCCTGGTGGAACAAAGTGTTTTTTTTTTTTTTTTTTTTTTTTTTTTTTTTTTGAAAAAATTTTTTTTTTTTTTTTTTTTTTTTTTTTTTTTTTTTTTTTTTTGGATATAACAGTCTAACAATAAACACAAGGACAAAAAAGAAAAAAAAAAATTTCAAAACGACATACATCAGTTGTTTTGTTCAGTTTTTACTTTAACAAGCCAGAGGAAGAAAGGAGGCGCAATGCTTTGTGGGAGTTTTTCAACACTGCATTAGATCTCGGTACTTGCATTTTCCTTTTCTTCAAGAACTCCAACGAATTCTGTAAGCATTGAGCAGGTGGTATCTCGTTCAACAAAACAGTATCCACCCTGTATACCACAAGTTTCAACAAGTTAATAAAATCCCATTTCACTCTCGCAACCCCTCTCTCTCTCTCTCTCTATATATATATATATATATCTCTCTCTCTCTCTCTTTTATGTACTCACCCCGAGCTTTTTGGTTTTCTCTTCTTTTTGGAAGTGCGCTTTAATTGAGTCTTCTTATCATCCTCAGAGTCTGATAAGAACACTTGTCTGTGGACCAAACACAACCCACTTGGTTATTAATACTTTACTTACATCTCAATAACGAGGTCCGTAATTCAAAAAAAAAAAAAAGGACTGATAAGGATTAGAAGACATACTTCTCACGAGAAGCCAGCATCTGAACAATCTCATTTGGTAGCATGCCCTCTCTGCCACTAGATTCAGTTGGTGTTTCAGTCTCGGACACATCTTGGCTATGTACACTTTCAACCTTTTGAGAAGGCCTTGGTGTTTTCCTTTGCGCCCATAATCTACGGCGTTCTTTTCCTTCACGAACAACTCTACACACCGTCACAACCCATCATAATTTGGCTTCATTCGTTTCACAATTCGAATCACAACTCAAAATTTTTGTTAGTGTTTTCTTTCACAAAAATTCAAATTCAACATTTTTTTTACTACAATATTTGCTCTCACATAAGTTCACTTTTCAGCACAAATTCTCAACTCGAACCTGAGAAATGAACGGGGCCAAAGTCCCCTCAAATCAAATTTGCTTGGACCCAAAAGAAAAAAATATGCATTTTACTAAGCATCAAACTTAGTAAAATTCCCAATTTCTACCATGTCATTCACAAGATACAAAACGCTGCACAAATGACTTGCTGGAACTAAATTTTTTTCTCAATCATCTAGTTCAGTATTAAGACCCATTGCTCACTAAATGGCTCAATTCAACCAAAAATTTCCAATCTAATAACTTATTCAAAAAAAATAAATCAATAATTATTCTACAACTTGTTTACCGTTACATGTGCGTGAAAATCCTTTCCTTACTTGAAAATGCGAAAACAAAATTTCTAAACTTATACACCAACTCCTAAAAAACATTGCTAATTAATCTGGCTAAAAATTCTAGAGACATTTCCATTACAATAAAAATTTGAAATTTTGATTTCCATTATCTATGCGACTAACAAGAACATATACATACATATAGATGTATGTATATATATACATATATATATATATATATATGTGTGTGTGTGTGCGCGCGCGCGCGT